CCCCGGGATCGCTGCGGCTCGTGCCCAGCGCGAGGAGCCCCAGCTTAACGGGACCGAGGGTGGCGCTCCGGGCGCTCCCACCCCTCCTCGGGCCCCAAACGTGCTGCCAAACCCTACGGTTTCGGACTCTTCCCCAAGTCTTAAACACTTCATACCACACCCAGTTTCCATTGAAAAAATTTCTAATCCTCTACCTGCAAAATTGAAGTTACACCTAAAATTCAGGCCTTATGAAAAGGTCAGAAATATTTTCAGTCAAGTAAGTTTAGAAAGAGATTCTAATAAAGAAGCTTCAATATCATCAGCAGGCTATAATGTTGTTAAACAAGTGTTTAATCCAAAATACCAAAGATATGTTTTGCATGCTAAAAATTACTTCATTTTTAAAGATTTCACAGTCCTCAGTAATGGACTAAGTCTCAGTGCAGCAGCAATGATACTGCCCAGTATCAGACTGGGTAAAAGTGTTTCTTATTTCAAGGCAAATGCAAGCCCTGGTGACCGGTCACCGTAAACGCGTGACGAAGGCGGCCAGAGCGCCCGCGCTCTCCCGCATCCCGCGGCTGTCGCCACCTCCTCTCCCAGCGCAGCAGCCCGAGTCGCTGCGCGCGCACGAGCGCCGTGGTCGGGCTGCGCCAGCCCTGCGGGGACGGGCTCCGCGCGGAGCGGGGACACGGGCGCGCGTGGCGCCGCCGCCTCCGCGTCGCCTTCTCCGCTCCCTGCCTCACACGAGCGAGTTCCGCGGCCCCGTCTCCTCCCGGGGAGCAGCAGGGTGCCCGGGAGCGCCCCCACATTTGTTCTGCTTACCAGCAAAACGCCAATTCACAGGCACGTTACTTCTGTCCCCTCACCGATTTGCTCAGTTACGAGCTACTGAAAACCCCTAACTGGACAAGGCTTGTATCCTATCATGGAGCGAGCGGCTCCTGCTAGAGAAGCCTCCCCTCTTCTCGAAATCGCGGAGGCCCCTTCAGGCAGCCTCCATCCAGCTGTGAGACCCAGCGTGAGGGGCTCCCAACAGGAACAGTTATCCAGTCCTGAAAGAGCAACCACGCAGGTATTTCAGATTTCTACGTTTTTCCTTTGCTAAGGCACACGAATGAATTCACAGCCTCAGCAGGACTGGCAGGGGTCAGTGTCTAACCGGCTGCACGCTGGCTGGCTCTTCGTCGGACAGACAAGTACCTGTTTGTACCAGACAGCTGAGCTCTCCAGTCGGACAAAACTCCGCAGATGCACTATCCACTGCAGCATAACTGATCCCAGAAGCTAAAAAAGAAGCCACAGTAAATCAGCAGATTAAGAAGCTCTTGATTCTCAATGAAAAGCTCGAGTTAGACAAGTATACTTGGCTCATAAGAAGTAATTCAGAGGCAAATAATGAAAGCAAAAAACAGAGGCTTATTTTGTGCAAGCTTAAGTGGTTCCGGTGGTGGGGGTTTGTCTTCTTGGACTTGTTTGTTTGGCTCTGGACACATTGAGGAAAAACGTGGTTATTAGTTGTGATCAGATCTCGGGCAGCACTAATCAATCACCGCTGTGTGACAGTCGCCCTGCGCTCACCGTCCGCGGGGAGGAGGCGGCAGGTCGAACCACGCTGAGCGCAGCGCGTCACGACAGGCGCTGCCTGTTCCACACAGCTCCTCTCATTTCACAGGTCTAGGGCCTCCAATCCCAAGTCGGGAGAGTTTCACCAGAAAGTTTCACTTTCCAGACAGGGCTGAAACAGCCAGTACGAAACCGGTCACCCTTCCCATTCTGCATCTCGCTGGAAGGGCATCTCACTGATGGAGAGCCGCAGGACAGGGAAATGCGAGTCTGGCGTAATACAGCACACGGAGAGATTCCAATTCTTCAGATTTACCAATCAAAGATGTTTCCAGCATATCTTGGAAAATGCTTATCTGAGTGGACATGCAAGAAGAGTTTTTTTTTCTTTTTAAAAAACCGTAATGACTGGTTCATGATGCGCATACAAATGCAACGCAACCCTACACTGCATTGCCTCAAATCAAAGCTCACCAACCACGGCTACGTTTTAGGCAAACTCACCCAGGACCACGAGCAGGGAGTCTGTGCACGAGCAGAGCAGCCTCTCGGGCTCCCCTGCCGCGGTACCCAGAGGCTGTCATGGTCCTTAAGCCTCCAAGATGCTGCACTAATTGGAGAGCGACCCATGAGACTTGTGCGCCCAGGAACACCTACATGAACACTACGCAGAAGAAACGTTTCCAAGCTTTCCTAGAAGTCTGTAGCAACTGATATTTCACTAATATTTAATGGTTTGAATGTTATTGGCACTCTCTCCATGATGACATATCAGCAGAAAATAATCATCAGGTCTCTTTCTAGAGCATTTTCTACTAATACTTTACTGTTCCTTGCCATAGCCTGTGATTTGCTTTGTTGACTCAGATAGCCCCAGGAGAGGGCTGCTCACAGGAGAACAAGCCATATTTGCTAGGGGAAATAAAACAGAAACAAAGAAACAGAAAGCTGACATTACACAGGAAGATTTCCACTGTGTTTGGGCTACAGTCACCTTATTTAAGCCCTTGGAGCACATTAACTACTTGCAAAGGATCTGCAAAATGTAATTAAAAAGTCTGTCAGCAGGCTTATGATCCATACACTTGTGGTTCACGGAGCCCCCAAAATCTGGGATGGAGAACTTGGATGGATTTTGACAGTTTTATGGTTTCAGAGCAGAGATTTGTCTTCCACAAAGGAGTCACCACAAAGCCCAGACCCAGCGGGTTTGTCATCAAGCAGCTCAAACCCGCGACGGGGCCTTGCTGCAGGCCCAGAGGGGCTCCCGGGACACCGGCCTCCCGCGCCCATCGGAGCCGCGTCCCCGTCCCCGGGCGCCCTGCAGAATTGCCTTTACTGAAGCTCCCCCTACTAGGTTTTCACTGGAAATGTATTGTTGAAAGCAGCTCAGGACGAGTCATCTCAATAAGTAAAGCCAAACTACACCAAGCGACCTTAAGAAAACCTAGTAAGCTGGATATGAATGCAAAACCCCCTACACCTTCGCAAAGAATTGGGAATCCGAACCAACTGGAAGCTTAAAACCCATGTTAATCCTGATGAAGTTGCTTCTGTGGTGTTTTGTTTTTGAACAAATATCAGTTTTTGCTAAGAAGCATTCAAAGATCTACCCAAATTTGGTGTTTCTCCATAACCCACACACTTGCAGTACTTGCTTTGGATGTTATTAGGTACACCTAAGATACTTGAATCCTCAACTTTAATCATTAATAATTTCAGTTTTTAAATGTGCTTCTTCATTTCAGAGCTATTTTAAATTGAGACATGAATACAGAGAAGCAAGTGACATGGACGTTTGCCCTGCGCATCGCATTTGTATTCAAGGCCCCGAAGCTTATTTCAATTAAATAAATAAAGCACTTTCAACCTAAACAGTGACATTGTCTCCAAATAGAGAGAAGTGACATGACTTGAAGCACAAAGCAAAAAAAAAAGTTGCAAAAGTTTCTGTTAGAAAGGAAAGGCGTGCTTTGAAGCTCAGCCTGTGCTAGCACCTCGACAGAAACCAGAGCAGGATGCGTTAGCTTTACGCTGAGCCACCAGCCTTGCACAGCAGGCAAATCGCTGCCAAGCGAGCTGTGAAGCTTCTCCAAGCTCTGTAAGCCTCTCAAGCCAAACACAGCCAATACCATCCAACGGATGTCAATATTAAAAAATAAATTTATATTCTACAGAGCTCAAGCAGAGATCTCGTGAAAGGCCAGAGCATCACAAGACAAAGTTAAATAATCACTAGGACTTCAATTTAATGCTGACAGAAAAAAAAACCTTAAAAAATCATTCAAGTGCAGGAAAGAAACACTGCTTGCAGCTACTGATGCATTAGCAATGCATCTCTGACAAGTCATATCCGTAACAAATATGACTTCACTGCAGTTTCTCGCCATGAGCTCAGAGCTAACTTAATAGGTTTTCTTTGTCCTCTTATCTCTTCACAGAACAGGTTTGTTCCCATCTAGCTTAACTTCAGCAGAATGAAAGCAAGCCACAAAACTTCCTTTCCTGGTTTTAAGACCGAAAGATTTTAACTTCGCTGAAATCGCACTTAAATACGACATTTTCACAACTTGTCTTCTGACACCAAAGTTTCCTTTTTTGGAAAAGGAAGCTGCAGATATTTTAGCGAAGGTCAGCTAATAGCTGACTAGCGTTAAAACTTTCAGCTTACTCATTATGTAGGGTACATGCATAACGGAAGGAGGAAGAAGAGAAGTACTTTAAACCATTTAAATTGCAGCTGAAGTAACTCCGGGACTGCTTTCAGACTTTGGGGTTGCAAGTGCAGTGGGGTTCTCAACACAAGCAGCATACTTTGCGCAAACTAAGATGACGAGAAACTTGCACAGAGCGAAGCTGTTCATGCATACTTGGGCACGTATGCATCCGGCACCGAGGGGTTCATACCTATCCCAGAAGGTCTTTGACTCACGCAACTTGTTGAAATGGAACGCTTGGTAGAATGCGGTTGACGGATTCCTATGAGATCCAAGAATCAAACAGAGATATTGAAAACGGATATGTAATTAAAATATCAACTCTTATTCTACCTACCTTACAATTAGCTATCCAGATGGGCTAGATTTCTGCCCCAAAGCGTATAGACTCCACAGAACTCCTTAGGAAGAGATTAGTGACTGAAAAGCCTTACTGTTTCACTAGAGTAAACCTACAGGTTGCTGTTAAGGAGATTTTAGTTAAAAACATCCCCTTCAACCCACCCCCAAAAAAGAAAAAAGGAAAAAAAAATCCCCAAGCAAAACCACCCCAAACATCCTTTGGATTTTCAGGCCATTTCAAGTTACTACTGTAAAAGCTCTTAATAAAACATCTCATAACGTGCTGACAGCATCCTACAGATAAGTTGCATATCGCTCTAGTGTTACACATACCTTAACTCAAAGATATTTGTGAAATTTAAAAGAATAGATATGAAAGGTGTATCTTTACAAGCACTACAGGGTATTCCTGTGCCGAGGCAGCGCTAACCGCGTCCCGTCCGCACGGCGGCGGATGGAGCGGGAGCTGAACCGGGGCGCCCGGCCGCGCGTCCCCACGGGGAGCCCCCGGGGCGCCCGGCCGCGCGTCCCCACGTACACCAGGAACGGCTTGATCCGTCCCAGAGCTCGTCTTTACGCTGGCCTCGCTGTACTGACCCTGGCAAAGGCTGCAGCACTTAACTGAGCAACCTTTAGAAAAGCCAGCGCTAGCTACAGCCCCTGTCACAACAGTTCAAGTCAAAGCTCACACCAAGAACAGAAGCACATCTGTCCACCTCTTTTCTAAGCACATAACAGGATACCTCTTACAGCAAGAAAAAGATCCAAAAGTAATTCTTGTTCCAATGCAACATTTATATTATTTGAGCTGTATCAAGAGAACATTTTTACTCCATAACTGCATTTTAGCACAATGGTAATTGTTCGGGGAGGAAAGGCCTTTACAGGAAGAGCTGCCTGACCAGAAAAAGCAAAAAGGCAAACCCACATCAGAGGCTGCACGAGCAGCGCCCGACGCGCCGGTCGGAGCTCTTCCCTCCGAGGCAGCTATTTTTAACGGCACTGAAGAGCAGATGGGCTGGAGGGTTTCTCAGGGCTCCTACGTGGTGTGCCCAACGCCTGGGAGCGCCGCGCGGGCACAGCCTGGGCACGGGCCAAGGGCCGGCCGGGAGGGCAGCACGGAGCCCAGTTCGCGCCTGCCCTCCTGCACAAGCAGCCCGTTCTGCTCCCTTCCGAGAGGCTCGCAAGCCTCAACATCACCTGCGGCACCAGCCTTCTCAGAACAGCTTCGATGCTACAGAACTCAGTCTAGATTCAGAGGAGGAAAGCGGCACCAACCCTCCGAATACCCAAGACACCGACCATCCCTTTAGAGGGGAAGCCGAAGCCACACCGAACGTCACCCCCTGTCCGGGCGGCATCCTCTCGCCGCCGTGAACCAGGACAAACATATGCCAAGTAAAAACTGTATTCCAGAGAGCTCGGCTTCTCGAGAAGCCATGCCTATGGAGGCAGGTTACGGATAAATACTGCTGGGTTTCTGTAATGATTCCGGCCCTGGAAAAACCAAATGTCAGCTCTGTGCTCAGAGACAGGCTACTGAGCAGACTTCACCAGCTAACTTTGAAGGGGGAACGGGAGCACGACTGCTCATTATGTAACAGCGGATGCTTCAGGCTTCAACTTCTCAATCAGCAACTAAAGGCAAAAGCTTCAGCAAGAATAAGAGAAGAAACACCTAAACAATACCTTTTATTCCCCAGGGTAACAGAATCAGAAATTCGCACTAAAACACCTCAGACACCTCTCTAACCACAGTAGCACTGTATTATTTTCATTAACTTTGAGGACTGGGAAGATCCAAAACGGCCAAAGTCCCCATCTTTGAAGTGGGCCATGAGAATTCGGATAGCCCAGGTATAACACACCAGAGGAAAGCCAAAGCTAAGCAGCAGCTGCCTACACAGGCCAGCACAGACTGCCCCTTCAGGATCTCCCGCACCCAAAAATCTCTTACAAAACAAACCAACAGGCCTTAAACAAAGGGGAAGCAAACGATGTGGCCAAGTAACTGCCATCCTGGTAGAGCTTTTAATGTCCTCTTGCATGAGTTTAATTGCAGCATGGTTTATATGAAGTGGGCCCACAACTGCTATGTCCACTGTACGTGTGGCTCTCCAGGGGTTCGATGCAGTATGGAAGGTCACATCAAACTCCATGAGACTGCTCGAGGACACTTGGGCAGTGGGACACAGACCATCCTTATACCTGTGTCTGGTCTGCAAGCGCAGTGGGCAGCAGGAGGAATTCATCAGAGTCCTGCACCACTGGAGCAGCGCTCTGAAATAAGAAGGATACAACTCAATAAGGACAAGCATGAAGTACCTCTGGTAGCAGTAACCAGCTGCACAAGATGAAATGTGAAAAGAGTAGGGAGCCACAACTCCACAGAAGAGAATTTAAACAGCAGTTAAAAAGACCTTGCAGAGGTGTCATTTTCACAGGATGTGCACGTATTAACTGAAATCTTGTTTTATTCAGTCCTTCTGAGCCCCTAACCTACATTTTATGTCCAGTTTTGAAAATGACCTCTTCAAAAGGAGGTCAGCTTTCCAGAGCTCAGATAAGACCTCTAGAAGAAGTGTCAGATTACTTTTCAATAACCAGAATCATTATTAGGAAAGTTAAGCATTGAAACGAGATGAAAGAGGCAGACTTCAGGTACTTCAACCTGTCGGCAAAGGAGAGGTTCTTTCATACCTGCGAGGTACCGCACAAGCATTAGTGTTTTTAACTGCAGCCAGGGAAGCTTGAGCTACGCATCAGAACGGGCTCGTGCACGAAGCAGCAGCAAAATGACCTCCTCCCGCGGAGACAGAACTGCCAGCCCTGCTCATTCTGGAAGAGGCCAAAGAGGCGCCCCCGGAGCCGAGCCGGGCGCGGGCCGCACGCGGCGCTCAGAGCCCAGCCCCGCCACCGCACCTCCTAGCAGAGCGGGGCCTTCCCTGCGCGCGGGACATGGGGACGGGTGCCTCTGCCTCCCTCACCGAGCTCCTCAAAGGGGGGTTCAACGAGGAAAGTCCTGCTCTGACTAGAGGTCTCCAGGCACGAACTGGAGGGGACTGTCCCAAGGGCAGAGCAAGCAAGTCTGGCAGCGCCATTTCACCCGTCGTCTGCGTGCCCCAAGGTGCCGTCAGCAGCTCTCCCCTCTCCGAGTCAGGACAAGGGTCCCAGTGTCAGTTTTGGAGACACTTTTTCCAGTTTAAGGCATCTACAGAAGAGACTGAAGTTACTTTTACAAAAAAGCAACATGATCGCTTGCCCTTGGTTTAGGGCACACAAAGCCTTGCATCAATAAGAGAGGGACAGCTTGCCTTAAGATAGACACCAAGGGCTGCTGCTACTTCAAGCCAGTGCAAGACAGAAAACCTTTTCTCCTGCAAGTATACAACACACATGCTGCTGTCATGGGAAAAGTTCCTTTCTCTTTACACGGGTGGCACCCCAAATCATTTGCTTGGGACCTATCAAGACAGGAGGCAGCAACACCTGCTGCTGCAGGACGAGATCTTCTTGTCCCACAAAACACTTCCTCCTACGTTAGGTGACTTATTCAGAGGAAGTCAGCCATTAGTCACCACTAAAGTATCAGGTATCTGTGTATTAATGCAAGCCTAATTTTATTTAGGCAGGAAAACACACATGCTCTCAGAACTAAGTTTTAATAATTATTCAAAGAAAGTCTGTCAGTTTTGGTTACATTAACATAACCAAAAATGAACTACTCAACAGCTATGTTCAAGTATCCATTATTGTTATTTTTTATAAATAGGACATCCACAACATGAACTTAAGTCACAGTATAGTCTATATAGACTAATTTATGGTTATGAAAGTTTTACTAAGTCAGTATTTTCATTGTCTACACAGAAGGTAAATCAGAAAAGAAACTTCTCACTCACCTGACCTCCTCCCTTGCAGAAGGACCAGCTATCAACCTGCTGCTGTTGCCTTCCCTTGTTTATGCTTCATTAGCAGAGCACCAGAATTGTCAATCAGGGCAGATTTGGCCCAATGTATTCCCAAAGCTTGGGAATTAGAAACAACTTAAAACAAAACAAAACCCAAACCACCCCTACACAAGCTGAAAGAAAGCAGGTTCTTTTCTGCACACAAGTCTTAAGACATGAGGAGTGATATAATTATGTTTATGTATGAAACAACACATCTTATTAGACTGCAAAAAAGGCACTGTATGCAAGACCCTCTTGCCATCCACTTCCTACAAATGACCTTAAGGATCATACACAGTTTTCTTGGTATCTGTTGATAGTATTGGCAGAAACTCAATCCATCTCTCTTCATGTAAGACAGAGCATCTGATTTATGAAATGTTTTAGTGTATTATGAAAAATCTTTAAAGACATTTTACATTATACAAAGAAAACATGTGGTAGTTACGACACCAAGTACTATTTAGCCTGTGTTCTGAAGCCTTTCCCCAAGAACTTTTAGAGTTTTAGCCCCAGAAGAACACTCTCTTTGCGAGGAAGCGTTTCGATACTGCTTCTAAGCAGTAAGATCCTAAACAGTAAGATCCTAAAAGGGATCCATCGATGAGTGAGGACAGGAAAACACCCTCCCAACTAAAACTTACAGGGCCACTGAAAATGAAGCCTCAGCATCGTTGGCAAGTGAGCCAATCGGTAGAGTCTGTCTCGGTGCTGTGTTTACTCCGTAAGGAGAGCGCTGCAGATCGGCTGTAAGCAGATACCCAGCCAAAAGACCCTGCAGCTTTCCCATTTCAACTGTTGCTACTCAAAACTCTCGAGGCCAAAGTCTGTCAGATCCCAGACCCCAGAAGTCCTATATATAGCAGCTAATCCTATAATCATGACAGCTTTAAGGTAGTTTAAGACTTGCCAGTGATCTTTTCCATTCTCTGCGTCGTGCCTTGGTGCTGGCACGGGGTGGATTTCG